AAAAATCAAGAAAAACTGAGAAGAAGAAAGATTATTGTCTTTCATTTCTTTTGATTTGTTCATCTATAAATAGTTTAGTATTATGGAGGAGAGGACTTCACTTAATATCACCCTATATATTTCATAGTATTAACCCTCAATTAGACTAAAGTCCGAGAAAAGTCAAGAGGAAGGGGCCTAGCCGAGCTGTGTATATCATTCGCATGAAGAAGAAGCTACCGAACCACGAGCCTTAGTACAATCTCTCGAGCAAATGAATGGGTAAGTTGGTAATGTTGTTTTATTAGAAATTTTATGAGATTATAAGGTCGATCGTGCGAAGCTTTGTGGCCGAGTCCGTTTTATTTGGTAGCTTGCTCTCGTAGGCGCCATATAAGCCCTACCGAGCCGTTTCATTTTCTAGTCGAGGTCCTTCGAGCGTTTTAGGCATTTTCGAGCGTGATATATCATGTTATGTTGATTTGAGTTGCAGTTGCCGGAGTATGTCGCCAGACGGCCGGCAAGGCGCCGGTCGTAGTGCCCTGCCCGCATGTAGCGTGTGCAGCGCGCCCGGCAGTAGGTGCAAGCGTTCAGTAAGCTCGCGCACGCCCAGTTGCGTGATGCGCGTAGCACATGCCGACAACGTTCGGCAGCGCGTAGACAGCGCGCCCGCGTAGATGTGCGCAACGTGCCGACAGCGTTCGGCAGCGCACAGACAGCGCGCGCGCGTAGATGTGCACAGCGCATGCTGACACTTCTCGGCAGCGCACAGCCAGTCAGCGTGCGTATCGACACCCGTAGTGCCCAGCGAGTGTAGGCAGCGCCCTGCAGCGCCTAGCCAGCTTCGCCACACGCCAGTACGTTAGTCGACCCGGCAGTGCCCAAACGCACGCTGGGGGAGTCCCAGCACATGTCAGCGCGCCAGTGTGCATAGTATGCCTCGGTCCGTGCCCAGCAGAACCCCAGAGTGCCCTGTGCCATCAGGGTCGCCCGACAGCGCCCGTGTGACACCAGCCGCGCCAGTACGCGCGAGCAATATCTGGCCAGCGTGTCTAGTCGCTTGTCGTGGTGTCCAGCAACGCCCGGTAGTGTCTATATGTGCAAGCGCCGGGCCAGCAGCGCCGGGCCAGCAGCGCCCGGTAGCATTCAGTCGCGCACACCCAAGAGTCTAGACACCATCGTCCGTGCCAGCAACACCCGATGGATGTTAACAACATATAGGCCAGCGCCTGTCACATCCGGCAGTAGCCAGTCGCCACCAGCTGTGCCTAGCCACACTTGGTGGGCACCAGTCGAGTCCTGCCGGTGCCAGCAGCGCCCGGCAGCACACAGGTCGCGCCCAGTTTGCGCGTGCGACCGCGCCAGGGAAACAGCAGGCCCTGCGCGAGACCGAGCCAATTAGCCAACCAGCGGCCGATCGCCCGGCCACAGCGAGCCGGCGGTCCGGCCAGCCAGTGAACCGGTCGGTTTAGACCGATTATTTGAGTATTTTATTACTTGTCATTCCAGTTCGAGTTTATTTCAGAATTTCAGTTAATTTTTGAGCCTAGTCAGTCCAGTATAGCAATACCAGTTAAGTTTAGATTTAATATCAGTTAAAATAGAACCTCAGAGTGTTCCAGTAGATCCAGTTAAATTACCAATTAGAGTTGAGCATCTTAGCATTTATTTTTAGTAAGTCTGAGCATAGCACTTATCATTTGTTTATTTATATATTTTTTACAGTTTGAGCAGTTAGCAGATTAATCAGCACTTACGTGTTCAAACGAGCAGTACAGGTGGGGACCCAGCCTGGATATTACATTGAGTATAATTAAAGATATCATGTTCGAGGTATGTATTTACATTATCCGCTTAGGGTGGCGGCCCCCAGTTCGCCGTAAGTCCATCCTAAGTTCTGGTGGTGGCCCCAGTTTTGCCTAATATTCCACTAGAATGTGCACACGGTTTCCGGCCCAGTTTTGCCGGCAGATTACAATATCAATTTCAGTTTCAGTTTCAGTTTCAGTTTCAGTATCAGTACAGTTTCAGTTTTAGATTATATATACTTTGATCATGATATTGTTATTATTATTGTTGTTTTACTTCAGTATATGTTTCTGCGGAGCACAGTGACCTTTCGTGCTCACGCCCCCACTCTTTTCTCTTTTTCAGATAACAGGGTCGGGCTGGAGGTGTGAGCTCAGCTTGGTGGTTGTGGTCGTGGACTCGGCATAGTTTGCCAATCTCGTGGGTTTTTATACATTTCAGACTGTATATATTATTACGCCACGAGTATTTACTTCCGCTTGCTTTTCAGTTTTCAGTTTTCGAACTTGCATGCTAGTATTTAAGATACCAGATTTTACCCAGTCCTCTAGTGTGACTTGGGTTCAGTATAGTATGCTTCTTTGATATTATGTTTTCTTTATGTCTAACCTAGTAGTTAGACCCAGTTTAAAGAAAACGGATTTTTAGAACAGACAAGTTTTCAGTAGCATCCCGAGTTTTGATTTCGCAAATTTATAAGTATATTTAGAAAAGATTTTGCGACAAATTGACTCTGATACTAGTAAGAAAGCAGGGTGTTACATTGTGGGGTTTCAGGTACAGTCTTCTGATGTCTGATGCCATGATCAACACAATAATTCTTGAATTCATGGTAAGTATACTCCCCCCATTATCTGAGCGAAGACACTTTAAAGGTTTACCAGCCTGTCTCTCCACCATAGCATGAAACCTTTTGAAGTATTGAAGAACTTCGTTCTTCGTTCTCAAGAAGTACACCAACAATTTTCTTGAAGGATCATCAATAAACGTCGCGAAATATCTGCTACCACCGAGACTTTCCACTTCCATGGGTCCACATACATCAAAATACACCATCACCAACACATTTTCTTTCTGCTTCGAGGTTTTGCTGAAAGACACTCTATGATGCTTCCCAAAGAGTCAATAATCACAAGGATTTAGTTTTAAATCTTTGGCAAATGGGATAAGGGACTTTCTTGCCAAAACTTGAAATCCATTTTCACCAATATGAGCAAGTCTTTTGTGCCACAAATTTGGCGAAGCATCATTCTCGACTGCATTTAATCCACCCTTGATCAGCTTCACTTGAGTTCTGTACAGTGTCGATCTCAATGTACCTCTAGCAGCTAACAATAATCCTTTGGTAAGCTTCCATGTGCCGCTACCAAAATTTTTAGTATAGCCTGCTAGATCCAGTGCATGCACAGAGATCAGATTCAGACGTAAGTATGGTATATGTCGTACGTCCTTCAGTGTTATTGTGCACCCAATATCAGTTTGAATGCACACATCACCAACTCCCACAACATTTGCAATGCTGTTGTTGCTCATCTTTACTCTACCAAAGTCTCCTTCTTTGTATAGAGAAAAAAATTTCTTGTGAGAGGTTGTATGGTATGATGCTGCTGAGTCAAAGACCCATTCAACACATGAATCAACAACATGACACTCTTTTTCTTCAACAGAGAGCAACACCACTTCCCCATTGATCACAGGGGTTGTGGTATTTTTCATCGTTCTCTGAATTGTTTTTTCTCCAACCTCTGTTCTTCCAGGCTTTGCAGTTTCTTTTGATATGCCCTTCTTCACCGCAGTGATAACACTTGAATTTCTCCTGGGTTGAGATTGTGATTTATCTCTAGATTTGTTAATCCGGCCTCTGCTTTTATTTCTCCCCCTGGTTTTTGTGACCAGGGCTTGGGAGCTACTTGCCCCAGAGTCTTCTTCTTGTTTCTTCATTAAACATACTTTCATTGACTTGGTCAAAGTCAGTCTTCCTTCTGGAGCAGAGTTGCTCAACGAGACCACCAGAGTCCCCCAACCAACCGGTAAAGAACTTAAAAGGAACAGCGCCTGCAGCTCTTCATCAAGATTCATTTCCATGGTAACAAGTTGGTTTACCATGTCTTGAAACTCATTCAGGTGCTCAGCAACTAATCATCCATTCCAGTATTTTAAATTTATAAGCTTTCTAATGAAGAATGCTTTATTCTGTGCAGTCTTCCTCTGATACATTTGTTCAATTTTGTTCCACATAGTATGGGAATTTGACTCTGTAGCAACATGGTGGAATTTGCTGATATCCACCCACTGTCGGATTAAGCTGACAGCCTTTCTGTGTAACTTTTTCCAATCGTCATCCTTCACATCATCTGACTTGTTGTCTCCCTTTTCTACAGGATCGTACAGATCTTTGTAGAAAAGTATGTCCTCCATTTTTGGCTTCCAAATGGAATAATTTGTTGTTGTGAGTTTCACCATGCTACCCATGTTCTCCTCCATTTAATTTACACTGGTTGACACAGAGCTCAACTTGTACTCTCTGATACCACTTGTTGGGCTCAGATGCGTAATGCGGAAGATGTAAATTAAAATATCAAGGTAAAATGGTGAACAATAATCCCAAGCCCAACAACTCAAGAATGACAAAAGAAAAATCTCTTGCAATAAAACAGGAATAATTCTTTTCTGATGTGGAAGATCAGATTAAACTGCAACCACAGAGCATACTAAAAATATCCCAAATAAATAAAATATGTAAGAAATAAGACACCAAGATTTAACGTGAAAAAAACCTCCAAAATAGAGAAAAATACCACGGGACAACCTCCGAACAATTCCACTATATTTTCAAGATAATTACAATATCCTTTCACACTTCCCTACACTAGAAATGTAAAATATAGTGACCCAGTGAGACCCACTCCTAAACAAGGAATAATAGAGTTGATACCCAATCTGGTGTAATTTTCCCACCCTCACAGGATTTACTCAAACACTCTATTTTTATCTCACTGAAAAATAACATTCCAGAAACTGAATGTTGTTTCTTCTCCTTATTTTACTTCTCGCTCTTTTTCTTTCTTCCTTGGTATGTTCTTCAGCAATTGATTGGCTGCTATTTATTGATGAGAAAGATGCTTAAAATTTTGTAAAGTTGGCAGCCTATGCATAAACAATTGTGGTGGTTAGAATCTGATTCTTTTTCATTTGTTTTGTTGTGGCTGGACATGACACTAGAGTCTGATTCCCTTTGGAGAGAGAAGAAGTTGCTTCAAGAGTTGGAGGGCTGCCCCTTCATGGTCCGTTGCCCCGGGAAAGACGTCACCACCGAAAAGGGTCAAACGCTCTACAACTTACTTCTCGAGTATGCCTCCGGAGGATCTCTGGCCGATTGCATCCACAGCTGCGGCCTTCCTGAGAAAATCGTGAGCCCTTGCACGAGATCCATACTATCGGCCCTTGTCCACATGCACAGCCTCAGCCTTTGGGTGCTGCAAGAGATGGAAATCAGAAGAAGATGAGTGCGGTCTTCGGGGCACTCCTGCGTACGCTGCACCCGAGCCGGTACACAAGCACAAGTACCTGCCGGAGTCGGACGTTTGGGCCTTGGGATGCTCCATTGTTCACATGTTGACGGGCAGACAACCTTGGTTACCCGAAAAGGAAAAGGATGTTATGTTTGAGGTTGACTTTAGGGATGTGATTCTCGAGATTCCAAACAACATTAAGATTTCAAGAGTGGCCAAGGATTTTCTCAACAAGTGTTTGATTAAGGATCCGACAGCCAGATGGAAGGCCGATATGCTTCTAAATCACCCTTTCCTTCAAAATGTTGACGATCACACACCAAAAGGTCGACACAGATTGTCTCACCGGATTTACTCATTGGTGCCGCAGTGTTTTCAAGTTGAGGCCCGTGGATGAATATGTTTAGATAGATCATGGTGGAATATATGTATTGTTCATGTTAGATCCTATACATATTGATGTAGAGCGTATGTATGATTGGGAAGAACACGAACAATTCACAAGAGAATACTTCAATTTTTCGATAAAACAAGTCTGTCTTCCAAAAGGGAGAAGACGATCTTTAAATACATCAGAAATCCCTAATCTTAAAAGTTCTGCAAATAACCAAAAAGGCCCAAAACTAATAATAATAATAAAAAGAGCCCAATAATAAATAAGACTAATAATAATAAATGAAGCAAACTAAATACGAAGACGATCATATTTATTTAAAAACACTATCGCGGTCTCGTCTCCATCATCCTCCCCCGATTGGGCAGGATTCGGCCGCGAATCCGA